TTGTTGTTATAAATGGAGTTGTAGTAGGAGGAGTAAGGTTTTTTTTAGCTGCAGTTTTGGATAGGATTTATTTAACTTTGTTATGACTACCAAATATTGACTTTTATGCTTTCATTTTTGCACTGATAATAGATAGAGAGAGAGAGATCTAATGAAACACTGCTGAGTTGAACTGGAAACTTCAAGACAGACAGACAGAAAGAAGTGTCGACAAGGGGGGCGATGTTGTTTCGTGAGATTTTATGTGGTGCTGAAAAGGGGAAAATCCGTGAGCTGCAGTCTGCCACTTTTCCACTTGGATTTAAGACACTTGAATTCTTTCTACAGACATTCCAGTATTGATCAGAATCCTATTACATAATGAGCTGGTTTCGTCCGGCGTGGATGTATGTAGTTTCCATGTTAGTGGAACATATTAGTTCATTTGCACGATTTGGAAAAAGAAGGACAATGTTTTCCACAGATCTCAAGTTGTGGCAGGAAGGAAATAAAGATTCTTTATTGCACAATGACAAGGCAGCGCTGCCCAAACTGAAATCTTGTCAGTAGTGGTCTCTCCAGCTACCGCAGCACTTGTCTAATATCTGGTGATACTTGTGAAACACATTCTAATTTTTTAAGGCTTCCACATCATTAAAAGGCGATCCATAAATGTTTGAGGTGTGCGCTGACATCTTCTGTAATAAGTTTTGAAAATGATTCCTTTGTGCTAATATTAAAGTCATATTTATTTTGCTTATTGTCACTTCACTTAGATGTTTGACTTGACAGAAGAATGTGGGGTGGGGGATTCAACTGGGTACCTTCCATTCTTGCAGAGACTTGCTATCTCCAGTCTTTGGATTAAGCTAACTGCCAGTTTTCTCTGGCCTTTTTTTTTTTGCAGGGTACCAACATGTCAGTGGTGTCAGTCTTCTCATATGATTGTTTTTTGGTATTTAGCCATTGTTTGCATGCTTTAAACAGTGTATGACATGGACTTAAGCCCACTAAAACTAATAAACCTGTTGATATACTGTTATGTTTTTTATTTTCTTTCTTTGTTATGGTCTGTATCCTGCTGCTCACCTGAAAAAATTTACAGTTTACTCCACTTATTGTCAAGAGGTGAAAGGTTCAGAGCTATTGCAAAATCGAAAGCAGCTATACTTTACCTGGCAAGTAAGAGAGGTGATCAAAAGACCCAAACAAAGTCAAAAGTCCATGCTTTTCATTGACCCCTGAATTTCCTGGGAGAGTTTTCCATTGGACAAGTTAATATTTCCATATGCTTGGTTTTAGGAGCTCAGCGGCATATGTTACCCTTGGAAAACTCTAACAAGGCAGTGCTCTAACCCAGACAACTTTACCTCAATTAGCTCTTTAACAGTGATGGAAAACACTGCATGACCTTGGAAAAAATGGGCTCATGAGAAAAAAAAAAAAGCGGAAGTGCAAACTCGACTGTCTGGACACAGGCAGTTTTCCTTTCTTAAGCCTGTGCCATATTCATTTACTCATTCATGATTTAAGTTGCATAAGTGTTCCGTAACAGTGGAGGAATTTAGAGCTGGTAGACGAGCCTGCTGGATGGTTACCCCCAAAACATAGGCTCTGGCCGCTGCGGTTTACAGACTCATTGCAGTCACCTTGTTCGCCCAGCTGTCTAGCACAAGCTCCCTAACACAGATTCATCAATATCTCAATCCAAAATAAATCCTCTGATTACACCCCCCCCCTTTCTCAAGTGCACACATTTTCCTCTGAGTGGTCTTGGGACTAATATGACTAACGTAAGCATGGGATCACTCCCTAAGGTTATACTGAGGCTCGGCATTCCAAATGTAGATGCAGCCTGAGACTAAGCAAATGTGCTTTTTAAATTTGCTTTAACCGGTAACGTTAACATGAACTGGACATGTCATCACTCCTGTGTTCCAGCAGCACAATGTGTTAGCTAATGCAATTTTAAAGGCTATATCTGAACTTGCTGAAAACCATTTTGCTAACTAAAGAAGTGAGACATTTGACTGTTTGAGCTGGAGCGCCTTTGTGGGTTTGGTTACAAATATAGTCTCAAAATAGCCAAACACACACAAAATCTTTTGAAACACTTCAGATTGTTCTTATTATAAATGAAGACTGTTCAGTGCCTGAAAGAAATTAAGTTCAATTAATAATTCCCTTTACAGAACAGCGCATATGGTGGTAAGTAAGGACTAGAATGCAAAGATAAGTGAGAGGTATCCTCGCAGGTCCTCAACCCCTACATCCCAGCAGTGCTGTTCTTTGAAGAAAGTAGTACATTGTACAATGAAATAGTATAAAAACTTCAGTTTTTCTGGCAAATTATTTATTTTGGGGTATTTTGAACATACATACAAACTCCACAGATGTCATAAGTAACAGACTACGCTTAATGCAGCAGAGTAGGGTTGAGTTCTTGGCACTGACACGGTAACGTATAGTTTAACTTGGCTCTTCTCGATGGCTTATTCAGCACGTCTTCCTCTCCTGGGCAATATGTGGAAGTCTTAATGTTCTATTCCCAGTTTCTTAATTATGCAAATATATTCTGGATAAACTTCAGCTTCTTAAAAACATCGCAATTCATCACATATGGTCGTGAAACAGTAGCGGTTTAGCAGGAGCACTGATCTACAACGTAAACTTTTTCTCTCCTGTCCAAATGAAAAATAAAGACCCTTTGCTGCTAGGGGTGATTTATGACGATACAACTTCAGAACCATTCTTCCTGAAGTTTTCTGTCAGTATTTGTTCAGAAGCTGGAAACCTCAGCAGGTAGATAGATGAGCCACCCCCCCACCCCCTCCTGAATTCCCAAGAGTGCGATTTTAAGTTTTATGAGACGAGAAAAACTATGCTGTGTGAAATATCATTCCTATTCATTATTTTGTGATTTATTCCAAAAAGATCACGTCTGGGAGTAAAAAGATGAAGTCTACAATGTAAAGTCCCGTGTCTTTGTGACCTCAGGCGATCTCCCTCCACAATGCAGTAAATGAAGGTTCTTGGAATGAAGAAGTGAGCCTGTGATTTAGATGTCTGGCAGAAACCTTCATACATAACAAATCTTTAGCTCAGTTAAATCCAAAATAGCATTATTCTTCCTCTCCTCAGATGCTGGGTTATATAACTACTATATTAATTATAAATGTATCTCCAGGTCTGTTGGGGACACGCTATGTCCTGGTCTTGTTCAGATTTTTTCCAGCCAAGTATTAGAAGATGCAGCAGATTTCCATTTTAAAATGGAAATGGGTAGTAACGTCTTCCCACAATGGAAGCAATGGAATTCTCCATATTCCATGTTCAAAATTAGCCATAGCCTAAAAAAAGATTCAGTTTTTGCTCCAAAAAGCTACATCTTACTACTGCCTGGTCTCTCATAGTTCAAACTGAACTGTAGAAGAATGAGTAGGGTGAACTATGTTAAGTAAATTTCACGTAGTGTAGCCTGTGATTAGACTTTAGAGCTATTTTTCATTTTTCTCTCTCTTTCCTACAATGTCCTACAGTAATTTCTTCATACCCACAATGAGGTTCTTGTGTGCTACTGTCTGAGAGAACCGCAGAAATGCCTTGGCGCAGGAGCTGGAGACGTCATGGATTCCTGAGTGTGGGGCTTTGCAGGAAAGCCCTGAGTCTCCGACATGGACCAGCTCCAGGTTTCCATGGCAAAGGCGCACAAACAGGAGGAAACACTGAGGGAATCCCGTTATTTTACAGCATTGGACCATTATAAACACCCAGAGCGGGGAAGGAAGCCGCTCTCGATACTCAAGTAATCCTTATAGAGCTCTAGGAAGAGGGGCTTCATACCAGAGCCACTGCTGATGCGGCCGCATGTTTTTGAACAGAAAAGGAGTTTGCGCGCAGCTGCCGTGTCGCAGCCTTAACTTGAACGTCTACAGAGTTTTTCTTTCCTGTTTTACTCCGCTTTCAGCATTTTAACCGAAGAGAGTTTCTTCTGCTATGGTTATTAGAGGACGCTAGTTTTTCCAGATATTTCTTTCTTTTTTCTTTTTCTCTTTTTTTTTTTACATTCCTGTTTCCAGTTTTTTGTATCCAGATGTTCAGAGAAACTTGGAGGCTGGCACAGTACCACACCATGAGGACGATGGATCAAGGTACTGCTGAAGTGTTGTGATTATCTGGTAATCAACCCATTTGATTTTTAATTTATAGACTAGTGTTAACTAGTGTGTTCATGCCTGAAATGCTGCAGTCATTTGTCGGCTGTCTGTCTAACATTTCGGAGACAGCTGGGATGTTGATGTTTGGCGCTTTAAATCAGCATACAGCGCGTGTTTTTGAAATCACGCCTACAAAGTTTTGATTGCCATTAAGAATTACTTGCTAATCGGGAGAAAGAAGGGCACTCTGCACAAGTCTACCAAATGCAACGTAGCAAAGACTGATAGGCTCATGCAGAGATTGATTTTCTCATCAGTTAATGAAAACTTGAAGATGCTATCGTCTTCTCTGATAGGGATATACGCTTTCCGTCTTCATTAGGGATTTAAACAAATAAGCCTATAATCAACGATTTAATAAAGTTGTGATTTCTATATAACACCACCAACGAGATCAGAAGTTTACTGCCGTTGTTTAGCTTTTTGCTGACAGAGCACATGCTACCGGTGTAAGGAACGCCCTGGTATGTGTGCTGCGTCGTGCGTAAATCCGGGGATACCCTCAGGAGAACCCGTGGGTTTTCAGTGACAATAAAACAGTACGTCACAACGAAATCCAATCCGGGACAGGATTTATTGTTTGACGAGATAACGCATCAGATAAAATAAACGTTTATATTTTCAGCCATCTATCCTCTTTAATCTAAGTCCACGCAAAAGCGACGCACAACCGCGTTTTAATGGTAACTCAGTTTGACAGGTGTCGAACATAGTCGGCACCCTGCTATGTCACCATGTCAAACACCCGGGGGCAGCAACAGGCTGTGTAGCCCGTCAAACCAGTATTCTGTTTGATCTGAGCAGTTAATTCACGTCCAAACTGCACTTGCGCTTTTTGTTGTTTGACGCATCAGCATAGAGAGAAGGCGTGATCGGACTCTCGGGGATGAACACGAAGAGTTTGTATTCAGTGTGTAAATAGACCCGCCTCCGTACGAAAATAACCGCGGCGAACTGAACAGGAAACGTGTGCGCTTCACCTTCTGCTGCTCACCGATGCATGAATTGACAACAGGTTCCCCAAATCCACATCTACACCGCAATTCGCCGTCCACGTCCCTGCCGCTTCGTGTGAACTCAGAGGAGTAGTTAGGAAAAAAATAGACAGATGACCTCCTTTTACGACGAAAAAGATTTGGTGGAAGAGCTCAGTCGAGTCAGCTGCCCCGATGAGGATTTGCCGTTTGAGTACCTGTTTGAATATGAGCCGCCGTGCAGTGACTTTGCAGGGGGGCACCAAGGTTTGTCCGAGACTTTTCTTTTTGGCACTCTGAGTTGGCTTGCCTTTCTCTTTCTCTCTCTCTGCTGTGTTGACCACTAGCGAGGCCTTTAAAGTTGCTTAATGTCAATGAAATGAAAAACGAGGAAGTAAAGTTGACAGACTTCGCAATGAGGATTCTGACGCCTCGCCATGTGGAAAAAAAAAGTCAATATTTCAGCTGATAAATGTATACTTGAGCTAAAAATAACCTGTGTTGTTTTTGAAAAGAAACACGTCTTTGATTAAGATTCATTCATTCACTGAGTGATATTGGTACAAAAACATGAGCTTTTCTTTAAAAACAAACATAAGCCCGTTTCTCTGTCAAATGTGTGCATTGTAATAAATGTAAACATTTTGTTCCCTGCAGATGACTCCAACCTTGGACCCCCAAAAGTCCTCAGTCCTGAATCTGAGCAGGCTTACCCCTTGGAGGAGACCTCACCCTATGGTATCAAGTCGTGCAGCCCCGCCTACAGTGAGCACACCGAAGTTCTCACAGGATACGAGAACCAGGAAGCCAGAAACTACCTGGACAGTACCCGACCTGCAGCCTTGAGCCCTCGCATTGAAATCACCCCCTCACGTGAGCACTACAGTCATGGTCGGGACTCTCTGCAGAACCACCATCTAAACATTAGCCCCAGACCTACCCTTACTGTCCCGGGCCATGAAAACCTTGCCTACCGTGAGCCCCAGTGCCTGAGTCCTGCCAGCAGCAATTCCTCCACCAGCTGGCACTCTGAGAACTATTCTCCCTGGGCGTCACCTTGCGTCTCCCCAAGCAGTGCGCAGAACCCTGGAGATCTCTGCCCTCGATTGCAGAACATCCACACTGGCTCCCCTCGCACCTCCCCGGGCACCTCTCCTCACACCAGCCTAGGTGACGACGGCCTCGGACCCCGTTCTCCCTCACCGAGACCAGGCTCTCGCTCCACCTCCCCACAGGGAAAACGCACCTACGACATGTACAGAAACCCAGGATTAATCCCTGGGCACCGGTCCCGCAGTCCTTCCCCCAATAACGGCCATGAAGATCACAACATAGGCGCCCACTATACACACACCAGCCTTACTGATGCCATGAATGGTTTTGGCGCCAATCATCCAAACCTGGTTCCCACTAAAATAGTGAAGACATCCAACCAGGTTTACACTCTGTATCCAGAGAATCATGGCGATGGGAACTACATGGTGTCCTGTGATCAGGACATAAAGACCAAACCTGCTGCAGAGCCTTTCTTTGTTATTCCTTCAGTCTGGCCCAAGCCTTTGGTTTCCAGCCTCTGCAGGTAAATTGGCAATGAAGTGAGGCTTCACTCCGATAAGCTCCCACTCTCCACGTGTGTTTATTTATGTAATAATTCTATAATTTTATGAATAATTAATATTTTGCAGCATCCCTGTGGCTTCTCTCCCACCGCTGGAATGGCCGATTCCTCGTCGCACCGACCAGTATGAACTGCACATTGATGTGCAGCCTAAACCACATCACAGAGCTCACTATGAAACAGAAGGAAGCAGGGGTGCAGTCAAAGCCCCCACGGGAGGACATCCTGTTGTGCAGGTATGGCCAAAAGCATCATTATAAAAAAATTAAGTAAAATTCTTAAGCCTATGATTTATTTTTAAGAACTAAATCAGTAAATATGAATAAATCTGTTTTTTACTTTGGTGAATGACCATATGAAGTCATGTTGTCAGGGTTATTCATAAAAGTGCACATTCATAGTTATTTCCATTCCCATATTTTGGGCTCTACTTCAGTAGTCTAATGATTCACAGCTAAACCTAATCCTTATTTTTCTTATACTGGTCTGCCAACTTTCTTCCGATTGGCTGGCCCTTGTAAACAAGAGGTTTGAACATGGGTGGGGATTCTGTGTTCACAGACTGAGCTGTGTGCCTCAAATCGTTGTATTACAGGTGTCCGTTTAACTGACATCATACTGAACCAAGCATAGAAAAACAGTTTCTAGAGCAGTCTGAATTCTGTTATCGTCCACCGCCGTGACAGTAAACACAACAGCAAAGTAAGGAATAAGGAAACTAGTAACAGTTCCGCTTTAAATTAGCCGTCCAGCTCGAGAGCCTCAGGCAACCCTGGTGGGAGGGCTTGCGTGTAATAGTATTTCCTACTCATTATACACTCGGCGGTAGCGGTGGTATTGTTGCCCGGGGTCATCTGTATGAAAATGAGTCTGCGTTAGTTATTGTGGCTACTGTCATGGCACCTCTCCATTTTTTTTTTTCTTCACTTTCTAAAACAAATTGAAATAGCTGCTGTAACCCCAGAAAAATGACGCATTGAAACCAGGGTGCACACTCAGGACAACCCTCGGGTCACTCATCAACTCTAACACTCAGATTTTTTTTTCTTTTTGGTGTTAAAGCTTAAAATAGTCTGCAATGGCGCACCTTCGCCGTATGGTTTTAACCACATGTACATATTTGTTCTCATGCTGTTCTGACTTCCTCTTACACTCTGTGTACGAGGTTTTGACTGTGTGGTTCTTGCGTTAGCTGTGTTGAAGTATCGAAGCGTTCAGCCTCGATGCGTAGAACCTGAATACGGCCTGTGGTTATGATGATTGCAGATGAAAATGAAAAATACTAATATTTTAGTTTTTCTCTAGTCACAAAATAAGATTCAAATATCCACTTTAAAATTAGCTTTGACACAGTTACAGCTGGGGTCCATAAATAGATACAACTTCCTTTTCTTTGTGTTACTGTGGCAACATTTCAGTGCTGTGTTTGTCTGTGACTGTGGGGACTTTGTGGAAATTAAGCTTCTAATGCTTCTTTTCCATTTTATGCCCATCCCCAAAGGCCTCACCCTGAGGTCAGTTCTGCCTGCTTTGCCCGGCCAATCAGATGGTCAGGCCTGGCTAGCCACGGTTGCACTCCTTCACCTCCTCTTTCCCTTCCTCTGCCCTTCTTTCACTCACTTTGTCCCTCCTTCTCTTCTTCTCTTTGCCTCTCTCTAAGCTTCTTGCCCTCCACTTTACTTTTCCTACACTGCGCTCTGTCATGACTCACGGGTCCTGCCAATGCCATGACAACTGGCCGGCTGCTCACATGGCCTTTTGAGTGTTTGCAGTCAGCTTCCTTCTGTTTGGAGGGGAGCATGCTCATTCATGTTGCCATAGCTTCTGTTCACACTGAGCAGCTGCTGTCAAGCCTGACAGTTGCATCCACTGAGATGATAATTTCTTCAAACAAGTAGATTTTTTTCCCCTGACCGCAGTTAAACGGAGCTCTTTTGAATGGAAATTATGTTTCGAAACAACTTTAAATTAACTTTGCGTGTTGCAGGCTAATAGCAGAGGGACCCGAGCCTTTTTTTTTTTTCCATTACCCACAATCCAATTCATGGTTGTGCTGTATGATAAAGGTTATGCACTACACAGTTTGCATAAAAACAGCATTTAGATGCAAGTTGATGCTTTGTGGTTTTTGCAGGTTTCCTTAGGAGGCAGTCACAGGTTAAAAGTAGCATCTCGGTCTTTTCATGTTCACGGTTTAATCAATGTGGTACTTGTCATTTCAGCTAAAGTTTAAAAGATAGAATCCCTGCTTAATCCTTCATCCCATCGGAAAGAACAAGTACAAGGCCGTAGGATTTGAGCTCTCTGCTGGCTTCCGTTCAAGGCTGCAGAAAAAAGACTCATGTGTTTGCACGTGGGTCTGACACAGATTTGCCATCACTGGAGGGGGGGGGCAACATCTGGAAATGCAGAGTTAGTGAAAGCGGCTATGGAGAAGCACAACCAGTTAAACGTGACTGAAATATTTCCTTCGTACTGTATCTCTGCTTCCTTCCTTTCCAGAGGATGCTTTAAGTTAAAAAAAGAAAAGAAAACGACTGAGTGCTCTTTCTTCGTTTACAGTTACACGGCTATAGAGGCAAGGAGCCTCTTGGCCTGCAGATTTTTATCGGTACAGCTGATGAGCGCATCCTCAAGCCTCATGCCTTTTACCAAGTCCACCGCATCACTGGCAAAACGGTTACGACCACCAGCTTCGAAAAGATCATCAACGGCACCAAAGTCCTCGAGATCCCGCTGGAGCCAAAGAACAACATGAAAGCAATGTGAGATAAGCACAGTGTCCACTTTTAAAGCCCAGATCTGTCTTTTCGTCTAATGTTTTAAATATTAAAGATCTGAACATTTCCTTCTCGTCGCAGCATCGACTGCGCTGGGATCCTGAAGCTCAGGAACGCCGACATCGAGCTGAGGAAGGGCGAGACGGACGTCGGTCGGAAAAACACCAGAGTCCGACTTGTGTTTCGCGTGCACATACCTCAGCCCGGAGGACAGCACGTCTCTCTCCAGGTGGCCTCACATCCCATTGAGTGCTGTAAGTAGCTGCGCATAATTCCATTTAGCAATATGTTTCATTTTTGCGTTATTGTAACTACTAATATCATCCCGACAGACCATGAGCTTTTTGAATTTCAGCATGTGCGCTTCCCGTTGAGGTCAAACTGCTTTTCAAGAGTTAACAAAACTTCATACAAAACAAACATAAAAAAAGGAACCCACATTCAAATGAGTTTGGAGCTCGCCTGATAGTATGAAAGACCTCTTTATGCTACCAGGGCTTCCATCCAGTCAGTGGGCACAGCATGTGTCAGTGTCTGTGTACCTGTTTGTATGTGCACAGTAGTAAAGTCTGTGTTTGGGTACATCAGCGAATGTGTACACAGTGTTATTAAAGCACCTGGTGTAATCAAAACTCAAACAAGAAGGGCCTTTATCTGGCTTTAATCAACACCCTGGTCAAGTGTTGCGCCATCTGCGTGCAATATGCTCCCGCCATTGTAAAAAGTCATGATGCAGAATACAATATTATGTTGTATTTTTTTTTTCCATCTGCTTACGGATCACAGATAGGGAGAAACAACAGATACTACCTCTTTTTTTTTTTTTAAAGGTGAATTTCTGAAAAATCATTGTATGTAAAAACCAATCGAGCGTAAAAGCTGCGCACAGTAACACCTGTGCTGCATCTGTCAGCCGTATTGTTAAGCAGAGGGTCGGTGATGGGGTGTTTGAGGAGATGAGCCACCTGCTTGTGTCATCCTCTTTGTTCTACCCTTTTGCAGTGTAGTAGGTTGAATCGGCCGATTTAAAGGTCAGCGGCGTGTTTGTCAGTAGCTCAGTTCCCATCAGTAAATGTGGAGAGTCAGCTGAACAGGAGATACGGCTGAACCGATGACAATAGGGCACCAGTGAGGAACTGTCTTGTTTTTTTTAAAAAAGATGAATAAATGAATACAAAGCTGATGGCTACGGGAATATTATCTGTTTCCCTTTAACATATACATACATAACATGTCCATTTCCAGTCAAGCAGGTGTATTTCTTTCTGCACGTTTGAGTATTGTATGCATTTTTGTATCGGCCTCATCTAAACGTTCAATTCGGTTCTCATATTTCAATCAACTGGAAATATTTGTCTGATTGAATGATTTGACTGCACAGCACATTTACAGTTTTTAGAGGTTGCATCATTCTTTTAGGTGTTTTATTTTGTTCTTTGTGTCTGTACGGTACTTGATTGTAAATGGGCTCAGACAGCAACAACTCCCCTTTGCTCTTGTAGGTTGTGATTTGACTGATTTTAAGCTTCGGCTGATTAAAACCGAAAGCGCCGGGTGAGATTGTTGAATGACTCAGCATCAAATGTTTAGTGCCAAACACTGTCACTTCTTGGTAATGAGTTGTTTTGCATTTGTGAGAAATCAATAGTGAACTTTTGATCTGTTACGTGTTTTTTTTTTTCTTCTTTTCTGCAGTATTGGGCTATGACTAAAAATTGGTTATGTAGTCTGCGATATGTCAGAGCTTGGGGAAAACTGCCAATACCTGCTGCATAGCGTCCAAGTAACAGCATAGAAATCAAAGATGTTCACAAAAACAGAGAAAAACAGAAAAATCCACACACTGGAGAAAGTGACACCAGTAGAAAGGCAGTAAATGTTACACGCCACCCTTTTGTGTGTCCCTGCAGCTCAGCGTTCAGCTCACGAGCTTCCCATGGTTGAGAAGCAGGACATGGACAGCTGCTCTGTTCTGGGTGGCCAGCAGATGATCCTGACTGGGCAGAACTTCAGCTCCGATTCCAAGGTCATTTTTATGGAGAAAACACAGGGTAAGCGGCATTCCAACAACACGCTTTGCTTTCAAGCCAAATCAGTGACTGAATTCATAAAATCTTTGTGGTGTCTGTCGATTTGTCAATTCCACTGTCGCACAACATTGTGTCACAGTCACAACACGACACGAACGACAACTAATGAGTCACAATTGGCCGTGTCTGTGCACGAGGTCATAGCTGTTACGTGTCTTCGCTTTCATTTAATAGATGAATCTGCGTGAATTATTTGCATGATCTGAAGGATAACGCTGCTGCCTGACTTCCTTTTGACCTTTTCTCCCTCACCTTCATGTCTTATCAGTCACACGGGCCTCTCGCTATTTGATCAATGGTGTCACATAAAAGTTTGTTTTATTTGTTGAAACAAATGGACGGAACAAAAGGATTTATTTTTAGCAGCGAGGACGTGCAGTAATCTTTCTTGCCTTCTGACATTTTTTACGCCAGACTGAAGCATTTGTACTATGATTGGGAGCTTTTATGGTTCTCGTCTTAGGTCAAAGGTCAGAAGTTCTGTTGCTCTGGGTTTCCCTTATTTTGATTAAATGGCATCAATGCTGTATTTTTAAATCTACAGGCTACCTAAAATAAAACTTGGACATGCACATCGCAGGTGCTTCCTCTCCTCCTCCTTCTTCTTCTTCTTCTTCGGGGTTCCCTGCTGCTGTGTTATGAAACAACAGCAATGGATAGTAATACAGAGATGGAAAAAGAAATCGTAGAAAGAGGGGTTGCCGATGTTTTGAAGAGTTTGTGTATGACACAAAGTTCTGGACCAGTGAGGCTGTGAAATCCCTCTGAATCCCTCAGCTGCTATTGGCTGGAGCTCCCCTGACTCCTGTGCTTGGACAGGGAAAGCTGTACGGAGCGAAGGAAAGCTTCTCTGTCCAAGTAAATTTTCTTCCTCTGTTTCCAGCTCCATTCCTTGCCCCCTTTCCCCCCCCCCTCCACATGCAATTATCTCCAAAAGAACACGCAGTCAGGGGTATCGCTTGGAGTAGAATTGCAACAAAATGCAAACAAATAGAAATGCCAAGAAAGCAGAAATGGTTACGTTTTGTAGCAGTGGAGAAAGTTGATCATAAAAATAAAGCTAAGAAAAAAAAAGTTGTCAACATGCGTGGAATCCCCCCTTTTCTCCTGCTGACTCATTTTAGCCATGTGTTATTAATTCACAATCTGACAGAGGGTTTCCCAACTGCACTCCAAACAGAACTCGCTGCAGCACATGTCCTGTCATGTGTTGGGGCATGTGGAGTTTACGTTCGCAGGCACATGTTGTTTTCAAGTTTTGCACATAAATGACAGCTGCATTTAAATCTGATGAAGTGTG